TGTGAGTTCGAGTCCCACATGCGATGTAGAGATAACCAAAAATTTTTTTAATATGTTGGTTATTCTTAATACATAATGTTCCATCCAACATCATATATCATTTAACCATTTTCCTAAGAAAATGAAATAATATAGTATGTCTTAATTTGTATCTTGCTTCTTTTGTTCCCCATAATGTTTTTTTTAAACAAATAGTTTACTGTCAAATTGGTTTCCATATAACACCCAGTGCTCATCCCCACAAGTGCCCTCCTCCATGCCCATCTCCCCCCCCCCCCCCCCCCCCCCCCAATCCTCAGTTTGTTCTCAGTATTCAAGAGTCTCTCATGGTTTGCCTCTCTCCCTCTCCCCCACCATTTCTCCCCTTCTTCTCCCCCATAGTCCTCAGTTAAGTTCCTCCTAATCCTCCTATATGTGCAAACATATGATATTTGTCCTTCTCTGCCTGACTTATTTCGCTCAGCATAACACCCTCAAGGTCCATCCATGTTGCTACACATAGCCAGGTTTCATTCTTTCTCATTGCCATGTAGTATTCCATGGTATAGATAAACCACATCATCTTGATCCATTCATCTGTTGATGGACACTTAGGCTCTTTCCATGTTTTAGCTATTGTGGAGAGTGCTGCTATGAACATTGGGGTACATGTGCTCCTATGCATCAGCATTTCTGTATCCCTTGGGTAAATTCCTAGCAGTGCTATTGCTGGGTCATAGGGGAGTTCTATTGTTAGTTTCCTGAGGAACCTCCACACTGTTTTCCAGAGGGGCTGCACCAGTTTGCATTCCCACCAACAGTGTAGGAGGGTGCCCGTTTCTCCACATCCTCGTCAGTATCTAGAGTTCTCTGATTTGCTCATTTTAGCCACTCTGACTGGGGTGAGGTGGTATCTCAGTGTGGTTTTGATTTGTATTTCCCTGATGAGGAGGGATGCTGCCCCATAATGTTTTTGAGAGTCATCCATATTGCTGTATGTATCAGTAATTGTTTCTTTTATTGGCTGAGTAGTATTTCATTGTTTGAATAATCACTGCTGTCAGGTAAAACACCTAAGAACAGAATTACTGAGTCATAGAGTAGGTGTCTGTTTAACTTTATAAGAAACTTCCCAACAGTTTTCCAAAGTAGGTATAGCACTTTACCTTCCCATCAGTAACATGGGAAAGTCCCACCCTTGCCCAACACTTGGCACTGAGAATCCTTTTTTTCGTGGGACACCAGGCTGGCACAGTCTGGAGAGTATGAGATGCTTCATCTTAGGTCATGAGTTCAAGCCCCATGTCAGGTGTAGAAATTAAATAAAAACTTTTTTAGAAAAAGATTAGGGAAATCTTTTTAAAAAACTGTTGTATTTTGTTTATTTATTTTTAAAGGGCTCTAACTTGAAATCAAAAGACACATGGTCTGCCAACTGAGCCAGCCAGACACTCCAGTATTGAGAATCTTTAGTTACAACTACTCTAGTAAGCTAGTGAAGTGGTCTCTCAATATGGTCTCTTTTACATTTTCTTGATGACTAATGATGTTGAATCTTTTCATTGGCCATATGTAATCTCTTCTTTATTGATACTGACAAATCGCTTTCTAGAGAAGTTGTGTTCATTTGTAATTCTGCTGACAGTGTCACCTTTTCAAAATGTTTTCCTATTTGTTATGTGAAAAAAATGGCATCTTGTTTTAAATTGAATTTTTAAATTTCTTCTGAAGTTGAACATTTTTAATGTTTAGTCTTTTATAAATTCTTTGTTAATGGCCTTTACCCACACTTGCAGAGCTCTTTTCAATAGTCAAAGTTCTTTATCTTGACTTATGAGATGCAATTGTCTTTCTAGTTTTGTGCCTTTTAATTGTGTTTATCTTTTTCAAGTAGTCATAACATAACATTCCTTTGTGATTCCCGTCAGTACCTTTGAGCTTACAGAGTCCTTATCTGAATTAACTAAGCTGTTTTTGATCTGATAAATGGGGGGAGGGATCATCAGATCTGTTGGCATCTATTAGCTCTGGAGCTACCGCAGTTAACCAAGTAGGGTAAGTTCTTCATTTTCTTCTAGGTTTTTTTCTTTTATTTTTACATGTAACTACTTTTTTTTTTTTAATGTTTATGTATCTGTTTTTGAGAGAGAGAGGGAGAGGAGACAGAGAGAGCGCAAGCAGGGGGAGAGGGCCGAGGGAGAGAAAGAATCCCAAGTAGGCTCCACCCTGTCAGTGCAGTGCCCCATGTGGGCTTGAACCCACTAACTGTGAGATCATGACCTGAGCTGACTGAGCCACACAAGTGTCCCTCTTTCTTTCTTTTTTAAGGTTTTTGCTTATTTATTTTGAGAGAGAGTAAATACGCGGTGGAGGAGCAGAGAGAGAAAGAGAGAGAGAGAGGAGAGAGAGAGAGTGAGAGAGAGAGAGAGAGAGAGAGAATCACAAGCAGGCTCCACTGCTGTCAGCGCAGAGCCCAAAACCCATGAACCCTGAGATCATCATAACCTGAGCCAAGGAGTGCCTGGGTGGCTCAGTCAATTAAGTCAATTAAGTATCTGATTCTTGATTTCGGTTCAGGTCATGATCTCAGGGTTGGTGAGTTTGAGCCGCATAGCAGGCTCTCCACTAATAGGACAGAGCCTACTTGGGATTCTCTCTCTGCCCCTTCCCTGCTTGTGCATGCTCTCTCTCTCTCTCTCTAAAAAATTAACATTTTTTAAATTAAAAAAATAAGATAGCTTAAAAAAAAAAAAAAGAGAGACAAAAAAATGACCTGAGCTAAAACCAAGAATTGGACACCTAACCACCTGAGCCACCAAGGGGCCCCATTCATTATTTCTTAAATGAAGAACTTCCTCAGGATACCTGAACAATTCTCTTGGGTGAAAGCCTTAAGTCAAGACCCAAGGAAACAGTACCAAATTAAATCCAGCGTCTATGTTTTAAAAATGTTTTTTATTTATTTCTGAGAGACAGAGTGAGCAGGGGAGGGTTAGAGAGAGAGAGAGAGAGAGAGAGAGAGAGAGAATCTGAAACAGGCTCCAGGCTCTGAGCTAGCTGTCAGCACAGAGCCCAACGCGGGGCTGGAACCCACGAACCGTGAGATCATGACCTGAGGGGAAGTCGGATGCTCAACCAACTGAGCCACCCAGGGCGCCCCTTTTTTTTTTTTTAAATCCAGTGTCTAAAGTGCTCCTACCTTGTTGGGGTTGCTATGAATGGCCTTAGGTCAAAACTGCCAGGCATAATTCAAGGGATGCCTCCAACGTATACCCCCAGATCTCCTCCCATTACATACATCTATATTAATGGAGATTTAGGCTTTAACCCTTATAATCTTTTAGCTAGAAGCTGTCCGAAAAGACTTACTGCTATGATAGAAATGTACTATGCTAACATGTCCAATAAGGTAGCCACTAGCCACAGAGTTATTGAGCGCTTGAAATGCACTTGAGGAACTGAATATTCAAATTTTTTTGTGTGTGTCCTGGATATATTTTATTTTTATTTATTTATTATTATTTTTTTACAAATAGTTTATTGTCAAATTAGTTTCCACGTAACACCCAGTGCTCATCCCCACAAGTGCCCTTCTCCATGCCCATCCCTCCCTTCCCCCCACATCCATCAGTCCTCAGTTTTTGTCAGCATTCAAGAGTTTTTCATGGTTTGCCTCTCTCCCTTTCCCCCACCATTTCCCCCCTTCTTCTCCCCCTTGTTCCTCTTTTAAGTTCCTCCTTATCCTCCTATATGTGCAAACATATGTTATTTGTCCTTCTCTGCCTGACTTATTTCGCTCAGCATAACACCCTCAAGGTCCATCCATGTTGCTACACATAGCCAGATTTCATTCTTTCTCATTGCCATGTAGTTGAATATTCAAATTTTTAATTCTATTTAACTTAAATGTGTATAATCACAAATGACTTATCAGCCACCAGAGGATATGTTAAGACTGGTTTGCCTGTTTCCTTGGATTTCAGTTTCAATATTATTACATTATCATTGCTAAACTCAAAATATTTTTGATTTTGCCAGAAGCTGAGGGAACACAGTCGTAGTTTCTACTTTAGGCTTACAATTTAAGGAAAGAAAAGGTCGGATTTTAACCGAGAGATGGGCTAGATTGTTAAGAGAATTGCCCACGGTGTTCCACAGTAAGCATGAGTGGGGCAAGCAGGTGCTTGTGTCACTCTGTCAAAGGGGACGAAAGGTTGCTTCTAGTGGAGCAGGGAACTTAATTATAAGGTCAGTTCCCTGCACAGTGGTCTGGCCCAGGGGCTCCCTGGAGGGGCTGCCCTCCCTTCTCTTAGACGTGGCAAGGAAGTGAGGACGCCGGGTCTCGTGCCACTTGGAATCTGAGGCCTCCCAAGTACTGGACTGGCACTAGCATGGACACGAACGTACTTCTTACAATACTAACTGCACTCAACAAATGTGAAAACTGAAATCAGGGCTTAAATGGGTTTGGTGAATCGGGGGAGGAAAAACTATGGGAAGGAGCGTAGGCAAATTGTTCAGGACTCCTAGAGACAGAGTGGACGGATGACTAGAAGAAAAAGGGCCTCTCCCGTGGGGAAGGTCTGGGAAGACAAGGGCTCTCGGCAAGGTGCTCCCAAGGTGAGGGTGACAGCAGGTTCGCGCTTCCACGGAGCTGCTGCTGGGTCACAAGATGGCCGCTGCTTCGCCGAGGCTTTCCGTGCAGGACCCGGGGGCTGGTGTTAGGTGCTGCGGGTCCTGGCGGCGGCAGGCAGCCCGCCCACAGGGAGTCAGCTGCAGGAAGGGCAGGCTGAGGAGAAGGGCAAACGGACCGTTGGAAGCAGAAGGGCTGAAAGGAAGCACGCGAGCGCGGCGAGCGGCCTCGGGGGCCTCAGGTCTCGGGAGGGAGCGTAAACCCGGGGTCGGCGACGACCCTGGGGCGGGAAGTCAGGTGGCCGCACCGGCCAGGGCAGCGGGGCCGCGCGTTGGTCTTCGGCAAGGCGGCGGCGCGCGCGTGGGCCGCCGGGAAGTTGGGAGCGCGGCGTGCGGGGGCGCGCGCGCGCGCACACGCGGGGCCGGGCCGCGAGCAGCCGCGGCCGCCCCGGTTGCCTCCCTTAGCCACCGGCGCTGAGGACTCCGCGCCTCAGGAGGGAGCGGCCAGTGGGCCCGCATCTTGTCAGTGGGGTTCCGAGGCCGGGCTGCCGCGGCCACTTCCTTCTGGTGCCTGGGCCGCCCGGAGGGGCCGGGGCGCGGGGGGCTGACTGGTCCTGGGGAGCTGAGACCGCTGGACACGAAGAAGGAGGTGCACGTCTGGCGGTCGCCTGGAGCCGGGAGGAGGCTGAGGGGACCATGTCTGGGAGGAACTTCAACCTCTCCACCACCGAGCGCGTCATCAAAGGTGCCGGGCGGGCTAGGCCCTCCTCGTCCACCCGCGGGAAACGGCCCTCGGCCGGGCGGCGGCGGGAGACGGAGGGGTATAGCCGAGGAGGGGAGGGGGCGGCGGCGACCCAGGCAGCTTCCGTCCGGCTGGACGAGGACCCGGAGGGGGTATGGGACAGGGGAGGGGGATCCTCTCCCCGCGGGGTCCCCGGGCATTTTCTGTTGCGCCTTTACCCGTAGCTTAGATGGAGATAGCTAATTTATCTCCGGTCGTGTCGGACTTGCAGGTGGAGTGGGGATGCCTTCTCCCACCACCTCAAAGGGCCAGGACCCCCATCTTTTTAAAAAGAAACGATTCCTCTTTTCTCGTCTTTCATGTGGTGAAGCCATGTAGGGTGGTGTCGGCAGGGACTTGAGTAGATTCTTCCAAGTCCGGTCTTTCTGCCGCTCCCCTTCTTTAAGGATCTGATTATCTCGCCCCTCCCCCACCTCTTTAAAGGACGTTTACGCGTACCTTTTGGCCCACTTTCTGCAGATCATCACAAGTCACTGTTGTTATTAAAAGAAACAATGTGGTGAAATAAATACAAATAAATCCATTTTGTGATGTGTGAAAGCGATTTACAGATCTCTTGACGTGATGTTGGTGTTTTATTTTTTGGCCACAGAGACTTGGTGAAGGATGTTCTCTGATTCAGAGGTCTAACCAAAACTAAACTGTTCCTTACTAATACTTGTGGGATTTTACATCGTTGTTTCTATTCTTAAACTAGGAATACTAGTTTAAACATTACTACTGATTTATGCACCTTTGTTTAGTCTTGACACTTAGCTACAACTCTTCTCTCCTGAGTTTTAATAATCGGTTTGAAAGCACGATTTTATAAGAAGGGCGGATACCTCGGCAAGCCGTGTTAGTGGCTTCACGATAAAGGGGTTAGCTGTACGAGGGGGAAAACTATTAAAATACTTTTATTTTTCATTTTGGTAATTAGAAGGAGAAAGGGAAGTAAGATTGGTGATAAGAATGCATATGTTTTTTTTAAGGGGAAAAGTCTATTGAATATTCAGTGAAGGGAGAGAATTTTAATGTTTAACTTACATTTTCACCCCTAAAACATGAATCATTGTAAATGTTGATTTTTCTACACTACATAATTTTAGTGTGTAACTTAATTTTTTACCATCTAAAAAGCCAAGATCATAAGTGATGATCAAAAACCCCAGGTACCTACACTAGTATTGTTTAGTAAAGGTAGTGGGGTTTTTGAGATTGATCAGCGTTTGTCTGATATTATTAAGGCTCTAAATGAATTGCTCATATAACTGACATTTAGCCCTTTAACTGTTAGATATTTTGACCTTTTTAATGTCATTTTTTTGTAGTATATACCCCATAAAAAGTATAAACCTTCTCTTAATGTAAAGAATATATGAAACATAACCTTTTTTGATAAATCAAGGTCAGTTGTGTACATTAATTTCTGTCCTGGCTGTGATCATGGCTGGTGCATTCTGCTGTATAAGGGTGTTGGCAGTTTCTCCTTGTACCAAAATGACTCCTTACTGCTCTACCACTTAATGCTTTGTCTGTTTTTAGTTTATCTTCTCCAGTACTGTTGTCTGTCTGTCAAAATATGCCCTTCTCATCTGCTGTTTCTAAGCTGAAGAAGGCAGGGAAACCAGATAAACCAGAATTGTGTGTCAAGTCAGAGTAAATAGGATCTGAGTGAAGCTTAGTGGCAGTCCTCAAACCTTCGGGAATATCAAGTTCTGATCGCCATTGTGGCATGTAATTTCCATGATAAGACACAAAAGTGATTTTAAAATAACCCTCTCAAGACCCTTAAATATAGAAGCAAAGGAAAATAAAACATAGTTAAAAGGCAGGTGCTGTGTTATTGGTAGGCATGCTTATATTTAAGAAAACACCCTCCTAGTCTGTAATATTTAAGTTTGTTTTTTGGCAAACTTCTAAATTAATGCATGTTGTATACTTTTAAGATTACGCTTAAATACATGAAATATAATAGTTTCAAGCCCTTAGAAATGTGTGGATTTATCATGTATATAAAAACTTTAGTGTGGGGCACCTGGGTGGCTCAGTCATTAAGCAGTTGACTCTTGTGAGGCAGTAAGATCGGGACCCTTGTCGCGTTCTGAGCTGAGCATGGAGCCTGCTTGGGATTCTCTGTCTCCTTCTCTCTGTGACACCTCCCCCCCCCCCCCCCCGAGCTCTCGTTCTCTTTCTCAAAATAAATAAATACACATGAAAAAAACAAAACTACTTTAGTGTAAGAACTTGACCACAGCAATTTTGGCTTCTCCGTGACTTATGTTGCTTTTTTTTCCTGAGTTTTCCAGAGTTTGAAATAGTTGAGGTTTGTTCTCAGAAAGTAAGGTGTCACTGTATATAATATAGCTAAGATCCATTGTGCTGGTTACCAAATTTGATGGGATGTTATCCTGCCTGGCTAGGGTTGTCTGCATTTATTCACAGCTGGAAATCTTTTTCAGAGGTGAGACCACACCCGGGTTATTTTTGATTCTGTCATTTCCTGTTAAAGTCTACTTAATTGTTTAATTTGAACAAATCTTAGAGAAGAGTGGGTACTAGGAGGGAGTGATTAGTATTTTAAGTGTCCTTTGAAGAGCAACTTTCCTAAAATGAAGGACTAGACTGATGATCAGAAAAACCTAGATTTTACTGTCTCTGAAGCTTACTTGTGACCTTGAAACTTTCTCTCTCTTTCTCTCTCTCTCCAATTTCACCTGCAAAGCAGGGTTAATAATACCTTCTTTGTCAGGCCCCTGAGCCATGCAAATGATATAACTGACGTGAAAAGCTTGAGACAAGGTAGTATTATGGGGGCGCCTGCGTGGCTCAGTGGGTTGTGTGACTCTTGGTTTCACCTCAGGTCATGATCTCACAGTTTGTGAGTTCAAGCCCCATGCCTGGTTCTGCGCTGACTGAGTAGAGTCTGCTTGGGATTCTCTCTCCCTCTCTCTCTCCCCTTCTCCTTCTCGCTTATTCTCTTTCTCTCAAAATAAATAAATTGGCTTAAAAAAAAAAAAGACAAGGTAGCATTATGAAACATGATAGTAGTTTGATAATAGATCAGTTTTTACAGAAGTGGTAGGCAGAGAAGTCATTAACATTTGAAAAATACCAGAAGTAGAAAGTATATAAAATTATAAGTTAGGAAACTGAAAATACCTCTTCTACAATTTATTATTATTATTATTATTTTTTAAGTTTTATTTCCAAGTAATGTCTGTACCCAACATGGGGCTTGAACTTGCAACACCGTGATCAAGAGTGCCATGCTCTACTGACTGAGCCAGGCACGTGCCCCATTCTCTCTTACGATTTAGAGGATATCTGGGTGGAATCCCATGTGAAAGAAAGTAAAGAGACCAGTACAGTTCTGTCTAGTACTTTCTTGGCAGCTGGTTTCTTCCCTAGCAGTTGAAGGTGTTAATTTTTTGTTTAAAAATATAAGAATTCTTGTGATTTCACTCATTTATTAAATGTTTATGGAGAGCCATTTGCAACGTATGCCAGTAAGTGCTCATTTGTTTCTTTTTTGTTTTTGTTTTTAAAATGTTTATTCATTTTTGAGAGAGATACACACACACACAGAGCGTGAGTTGGAGAGGAGCAGAGAGAAAGGGAGACACAGACTCCAAAGCAGGCTCGAGGCTCTGAACTGTCAGTACAGAGTCCAGTGCGTGGCTCGAACCCACAAACCGTGAGACCATGACCTGAGATGAAGTTGGACGCCTAACCAACTGAGCCACCCAGGCGTCCCTCTTTTTTGTTTTTAAAGTAACAGTTCTGAGTGTCTCTAGAATAGCCAATATGCATTGGGGTGTCACTACTGGTAACTGGTATCTAGAGCAGAAAACCCCATAAACTCAGACCTAATTGTGAAAATCTTTCAGCTTGAATTTTTTTTTCCCCTCTGGTTTCAAGTTTCTTTTCCTGTTTGAGAGAATTTTTTTCTTTGACAGTGATTGTTACAAAAACAGTTTTTTTCCCCTGGGCTGAATCTTTTCAGAAGCAACAAGGAAATTTTACCAGGAATTACATGACAGATGTGGAGAATTCACTGTTGGTGGCCAAATGATGTTTTACAGTAAAGTCTGACTTCATTTCAGTAAGATGTGGATATATTTCTCCCATTCGCTTGGAATTCAAGTATATTGTATATTCACAGAATGTATTGTACCCTTGGTAGCACACAGTGGAGGCTACTGGTTCTTTAATATCTTGCCAATTGGAATAGTGTGGCTACGGCTTTCTTAAAAGATTTTTAAAATAGTATAGACAGAAATTGTTATTTTTTTCAAGTTATACCCTGAACCCTGTTTCAGTCTCTGGTACCTATTCCTCATTTATTTCCACAGCTCTTTGTCTCCTCGTGCTTTTTTTTTTTTTGGACTAGGAGAATGGATTTACCAAGGTTTTTTGTTTTTAAGTTTATTTACTTATTTTGAAAGAGAGCGCATGTGTACATGCATGAGCAGGGGAGGGGCAGACTGAGAAGGAGAGAGTGAATCTTGAGTAGGCTCTGTACTGTCAGCATAGAGTCTGACAAGAGGCTGGATCTCACAGACCATGAGATCATGACCTGAGCCAGAACCAAGAGCTGGACGCTTAACCAACTGAGCCACCTAGGTGCCCCCCAAGTTTTTTTTCTTTTATTTATTAAAAATTTTTTTTAAAATTGTTTTTTATTTATTTTTTGAGAGAGAGAGAGAGAACAAGCTGGGGAGGGGCAGAAAGAGAGGGAGACACAGAATCCGAAGCTGGCTCCAGGCTCTGAGCTGTCAGCACAAAGCTTGATGTGGAGCTGGAACTCAGGAACTGTGAGATCATGACCTGAGCGGAAGTCAGAGGCTTAACCCACTGAGCTACACAGGTGCCCCCAAGTTTTTTTTTAATGTTTTATTTATTTTTGAGTGGGGGAGGGGAGACAGTGTGATCAGGGGAGGGTCAGAGAGAGGGAGACACAG